ATTCTTAAAAGCATGTTCACTTGCAATCCTTCGAGCTCTTGGATTTTCTAAAGAAGCAGAAATGGATTGGATTGACATTAAATGACTAATTTATTTATTTTAAGTTTGATTGTTTAAGTATTGAGTTTGAAAATTTGCTTGTTTATTTTTTCAACAATTCTCCTCAATACTTGCCAAATTCTTTTAATTATTTGTTATATTAACTTGTTCAATTGGAATCTCATTTGACGTGTTGTATCGTGGAATTATAATCACCTAATTTAGAACTATTTTTCGAGGGGTTAAAATTAGAACGACCGTACTTTGTTTTTGACTTCCACAGTTTATTCAATTATTGTTCCAAAAAGTGGGGTTTCTCCAGCTTAACGAAACCACCCCAATTTGATAGAGAAATTAACGCTCATTTTTTTAAAACTCTACAAATTAATTATTATTTTAAAACGAATCAAGACATTAATTGTTTGGTAGAAAAAAAGAATCTAAACTGCCTTTTGTTAAGTATAAAACTATATGAAGACTAAAAATGATAAAAGTCCAGTATTTATATTGAACAATGAGTCTAAATTAACCAAAAAATATTTTGTCTATTTTCAAACCCAAATAAAAAAAAATGAATAAGTTATAATTGACATAAAAAACATTTTTTTTTATTAAAGTAACTAAAATTCAAATTCTTCAATTTGAAATAACAGAATTTAATCATTTATAATTCAATTTAAATTTAATATTTCAACAGGTTGATAATTGAACAATTCAATTTCTTCAATATTCTTTATTTCTAATGAATTACAATTCTTTCATTTATTTTCAAATTAAATGGTTTATTTAAATTGTTGTTTGTCTTTTATTTTAAAAATTACGAATATTGGAATCAGTTATTACATAATTATTATTTTATTTTAAGAAGAATATATCAATAATTTTATTAATATACTCTATTTCATTTAACTTCATCAGTCTCAATAGGGGTACGAAAATTAGCAAAGAAAAAATGCATCTAAATAATTTACAAAAAAGAAAAAAGATGCAAAAAAAATTGCATCCATAGAATATTCCATTTATTATATTTTGCTCCTAAAAAAATAAAAAAAGTATGATAAATACAGAATATATAAATATTTATGTTTATATTTTATAATCATTTGTATTCATTTTGTATGAAATATTAATGAAGTAGATGATTTGATTATTCATATTTGATTATTCATATTTATTTTTATTATTTTATTCATATGTTATTTATCTATAGTATTTTTATATATTTATTTCTCTGTTTATATTATTTATATCATTTTATTCTTCTTATTATCTATATATTATTATATTCTTCTTATTTGATTATTTTTATGTTTATATTATTTAGATTTTCTTATTGTTATTCTTTTATATTTAAATGTATTTTATTATTTGTTTATTCATCTTTTCATCTTTTATATTATTATCATTTATATCTATTTTCAATTTATATTTATTCTCTTTTGTTTTATATTAATATTAATTTATCTTTTATCTTTTGATTTTATTATTATATCATTGATTATCATTTCTCCTTTTATTTATCATTTATTCTTATTATTCTTTTGTTTTATATTCTATATCATATATTCATATCATTTTCATTTATATTTTATTACTTATTATATGCTATAATAACATAACACTTATGATTGATTATATAATAA